ACTCATCGCATTCTCATTTCACTGTCTCTCGGATTAAGATTGAAACCCTAATAGTAAATATAATTTATTATTCGATGGTGCTGGTGTGGATGTGAACACAAAAGACGTAATTACGCGCAAATACCTCTCTGCTTTTGCTAATTACCTTTTTCTTATTTTCTTTTGCTTTTGTAATTTTCAACACAAACGACTTCTTTCGTTTTCGTAGCTCCACTCCATATGTCGTTTTTTTAACACTACGCGCGTTTGCGTCACAATCGAGCCATAATACCAAAAGATACCATCCAAATTTGCGGCAATTCATAAACATTGAAAATCAAGCCTTTTATATGAGACAACATATGTATTGAGTAGTTACCGACTCTGTCAGGCATTGCGTAAGATTTTTGTTCGCCTTTTCTGGTTGACTTTTTACAGATATATCAAGTTTAACTGTTTACATTTATACCCAAATATGTACTTCAAAAGCCAATTTGACCATATGACGGATTTCCTTTCACTTTTTCATTATTTTCTTATTAAAGCAATCTTAGAGACGGATATCAATATTGTCCACAACTTAACAATCTACAAAGCTTAATAGGTGTGAAATTTTATCTCAAAAGGTCTCATTGTTATTAGGTGTGAAACCACTTATTATGAGTTGTAGTTTCTTTAATTAAGTTTCCGATGTGGGATGTTATATTCTTCAACACGTCCCCTCACGTGGGACCACCATATAGTGGGCCACACGTAGAGCTAAATCCACATCGAAATTAATCATCTGGGTCTGTGTGCAGCGGAAGATTCATAGTTTATAGTCGGAGTTTGTCAGGTCGATAGCAACACCCAGTCAAAATGTGGCTTGTCAGTCGTGTCGATGATTACACCTAATCAAGGTGTGGCTAATTTGAGTCGGAGTTTGGGTTTGGATCGGAACTTGAAAAGTTACATGCACAAATAATTACCAACCGTTGATGTGCCCAAATCTTATACATGAATGGCTATATTTAGGGTTTGGGGTTGATAATTCTACCAATATCATAACTCAAGTATCATATATGTGAACAGTAACAAAAAATATTGTAGATATACATGAGCTTTGAGAAGAAGAGAAGATTTGCTAACAAATTTATAATAACCTTAATGCAAATCCGTCTTTCCATTCAAGTTTGATTCTCATTCTCGTAGTCTATTATAGTTTACAATATCACCTGTCAAACTCCAAAAAGACTAAATTCATGCCAAAATGAAATACAACCCATAATTGATCTGAACTAACAATTAACTTTCTCAGACTTTTCAATACACTAACCTGTACAAGTACGGGAAGTAAATTAGGTCCTAAATAAGCATAAGTCGTCTAAATCTATAACTTAGATATGCTTGGAGAAAAAAACAAAACTATAATTTAGCTTATAGTGAGGACAAAACTATGATTAGGAACCTGCACCTGCTAATCAGAGAGCAGGGAAGGTCCTACTCATGGCGTTGACGCTAGCAAATAAACCAACGAGGTCTTGCCTGTACGGAAGATAAGACTGTCTCTTGTTATACCCGTCCTTGGCCACCGTCTTGTTCCTCACGTAGAACGCCTCGTGAGCCATCGACACCGCCTTCGACCCTTTGGGCTTGTTCGGCCCGCCTCCCGATCCAGGCCCTGACCCTGACGTGGACCCGGACCCGGACCCGGAGCTCTTCTTAATTTCCTTGGGTTCTTCTTCTGCTGCCTTTTTGGAGCTCGATGACAAAGGGGTCAAGAACACAAACGAGTCCTTGCTACCGCTTTCGCTGTTGCTCCGCCGCAGCAAATCCTTTATGCTCCACCGCCTAGACGACGACGTTCCGGTCGACTTGCTCTTAATCTTGCACTTCCCGCGAGCGTCTTGTGCCACCGCTGATTTGGGCATCCAAACGCAGTACGTCCCCTGTGGGACCGAGTCCAGTTCGTCCACGTCGGAGGACGACGATGACGGCAGAGCAGCAGCATCGTCTTCATCCTCCTCCTCCTCCGCAACCTCCTTATTATTAGGGGCGGCCGCGAGATCTAGTTGACTTTTGTCAAGCAGAAGGTCGCGGTTGAATACGGGGAAAACGGGACCGATCTGGTTGTGGTCAATGAATACCTGGCTTCCGGAACTTTGAAACGAGACGAACTCGAAGTCGTCGTCGACGTCGTCGTTTCTATGATCATAGTGTTCTTTCTGTTCAGCGGAGTTATTGGATTTGTCGAGCAAATTGAGGTTGTCGAACTCTAGGCAGACTTTGGCTGCGACGTCTGCAAGTTTGTCGGCGGAGTAGCTGTTGAAGCTGGGACAGACCAGTCCCTGTTCGAAATCGTCGTCTTGCATATTTTTTTTGTTTGTGTTTTGTTTTTGTTTTGGTTTTTTTTGTTTGTGGGGGAGATAGAGAAGGGTTGTGAGTAAGTTGATTTTCCCTCTATGCTTATATATATATATCGAGAGAGAGAGAGAGAGAGAGAGATTAGATATATAACGCGGGGCAGGAGCAGAGGAAGGTGGTAATTAAATCAATAAGTAATTAGGGATTAAATAAAGTTGTGATATTATTAACGGTGGAGTCTTTGGGCTTCTCATAAGTGTGTTTCTTTCTTGTTTCTAAGGTGTTACGTGCGTGAGCGTGTTGGTAAACTTTCCTTATTCCTTCTTATCGCTCTTTAATTTCACACGTTTGACGTCGTTACCCCACGAACGCGTCCGCGTGTCTGGATACAAAGACAAGATGCACCAAACAGGGCAAATCTTGCCACACAAAATGACAAAGGGAAATAAATCAACAATTCCTTGTTAGAGTTGGATGCTTATTTGGATTGGGAAAACAAACAAAGCAAAATAGGCAAGTTAATATAAGTAATCTGATTTTTTTTCTTCTTCTCAATTTTATCAATTTTAGAAAAGTTGTTTCTTTGCAAGTGATTCTTTCCAGATTGTTTTAGATTTTTAGTTGGCTCATATCACTCGAAAAAGTTTTGCCTATGTCCTATATTGCAATTGGGATGACCGTTTGTTGATCTAATAAACTTCTATCACTATTTATCAACCAAAAAAAAAAAGTTATTAGGTTGTTAACATTGTAAAATGGTCACTACAAATGCCTTTCTCAATTTTCTTTAATTTTGAAACGGCTCTTTATGTTAAAACTTACACTCTTATCTTTTGTTTGTCGCAATATAATTTTTGAGTTTGTTTTTAAACTTGTCTAATTATGATATTATATATTGTGCGAGTTATAAATATAATTTTTTACTAGCGTGTGATAGAGGATTCGAATTTAAAATCCTTTTAATATTGAGAAGAGAAGTACTAATACACCAATTAAGTGGTAACAAGCTACAAAGTCCTAACGGGTTCTGTATTTAATAAAGAAAAATAAAATAAGACTAATAACATAATTCAATTCAATTCATTCTAATTTAATTACGAATTAGTAAACATATCATTACTGGAATGGAAGGGATAAGATAAATTTGCCCTAGTTTCTTTGGGTTGATAGACAAAAAGAACAAAACAAGGCGGTATTCAAACAGATCACTGAAATGTGGTGGTTCTAGAACTAACCCCATGCCAACCACGTGGGGCCGTAGACTTCTAGAAGGAAAATCGTGCACCAGAAAACCAGCAGAGCCGTTGATAAAAGTGACATGGAAATTAATAATGGGGATAGGAACAGAATAGGATAGCTAGATAACCTTGTTTTGGAAGCAATATCAATTTCAATATGCAATTATTATTATTATTATTATTATATATGCAATTTGGCCTAAATCGAGGACGTTTATATGAATAAAAAGCCGACTACTAGTGTGGTTATGTTACTATCAATTTCAATTCAATGTGTCGCCTAATTGCTGACTTTATGCGTATAGAGTTTACTGATTCTCATGTCTAAGCATACATTATGCATACGTATGCACATACTTCATATCATCACATGCTTTGTGGTGTAGGAGCGGTTGATACACAAATATATTTCAATAATAATTAGACTTTGCCATTGTTAGTAGAAAAGGCACGTGGCCAGATATACCCCACATTATTAATTTGCAAGTCTTGTTTAATTACTGTTTAAATGCGAAAAGATGTATTTCATATACGAGAGATATGATTAGTAAATACGATATATGTAGTACTATTACTCAACTTCTCGTTTCATTATTAAGTTCAAAAGTGACAATATACCTAAACCCAAAATTAGAAGAACGAAAGTTCCGAAGTCCAACTTAATTATATTCCAAGGACTGCTTAATCAAACATTAAAAAACTCTTGAACTCAGGCAGAAGCCATCCATTGGTCTTGAATGTCAAGGTCTCCTCAGTCTTTTTAATTAAGGAAAATGAAGCACTCTATAGATTAATAGATTATTATGAAATCCGTTACATAACGTGAAAAACATAAAAGTGAATATATCTTCCGGCCACAAGCTCAACAAACCATTTGCCAAAAGTATCTTGGAAAAAAGATTGTGCTGAAGAAGTGCTTACTTGAAAAGCGGAAGCAGTGGCAGCAAATTGACCTTCTCCTCATGCCAGCCAGACTAGCAATTTGTGTTTCACACAATAAACAATGGAAGCCAGGCCACTGGCCGGCTCTCCAGCTTTGAGCCTTTCAAATAAAACGCATCCGTACTGCACGCTAATGCATGCTAAACGTCTCTTAATGGCTTTGCTTTGTGGAGGTATTAGTGTTAATTATAAACTAATAATCCACCACGTGGGTTAACTTTCCTCTGGTTAATGCAATTAGTTATATGTTATTGGTGGATCTTCCAGCTCCATTTGATATCTTATATCTTGATTGTAATGTTGATCTGCAAAATTAGTGGGATTAGATTTGCAGTAATCACCCTCTATCAATCTTTTTAATTTTTTATCTCTTCATCATTTTAATCATGGTTTAATTGTTACTTTAGTGTGCAAAAACCATAGGCCGCATCAAGCAATTGCTGGTTTAACTTCACTTTAATGGGTGCAACTTGCAAGATTAAAAATTGGGACATGGCATGGGAATATCAAACTGGATCTTCTTTTTGTTTTCTTATAATTTGATAATATCATCAGCTTTACATGGCTAAACCTACAAGGAAGGTGAGTGGTATACAAATACATGTCCTGTCCGCTACAATACTCATTTGGCCATTGCCCCCAACTTACACTTCAAATGCCTCTCCCAAACTGTCAAACATATACACAAACAAACCACCAACTATCCCCTCATCTGATCACATAAGTTCATTACCCTACTACTACGGTTCGGCCATTTCACAATTCTCTAGCCCTCAATCTCCGCTTCAGGTGCTCTAGTTTGCTGCTCAGTCTCAGAGGCAACTCGCCAGAAGTCTCATCATGGTTTGAACCTTCTAATCGTTTCTGTTGTATTACATCATGACGCATTGGTTTAAACCGTGTCTGGAAAGCCCGGTATGAGAAATACGGTAGCAAAGTGCAAATGACGACGAGGAGGGTCACCAGCCAATACAGAGGACTGGGAGCACAGGCTTCCACAAGAACTTTGTGCGCTGTTGTGGAAACATTCGGTGATACGGAACCGTATATCACCAAGAATATATACCAGAAGGCGATACTTCCCCAGATGAAGAAGTGCTGGATCCAAGTGAAGTAGTTGATGGAGAGTGCCATTTGGCAGTTTACAACCCACACTACGCAAGTGTACATTGTGACCCCTAGGACTTCATAGTCAACTACTTTACCATCTCTACGGAGAGCCTGGCCAACCATGGAATTGGTGGTGAAGAAGAAGATAATTATGGAGCTCAAAACGCCATTAACCATCCAACCCAGTATGCGGGTCCAGCTGAAGAGGAGGTTCTCCACTCCCTCCAGATACAAGGAGGGATACTGTCAGCAGAACAAGAATGAACAATAAATAACTCTCGTAGCTCCAGAAAGCTTCAAGGACTATAATTGCTAACAGATATGAAGCACATGTTACTAGAGCTGATAATTGCTAACAGAACTCTTAAAATGGAATACCTAATTACCAAACGCCAAGCTATATAGCAGTAACACGGAGAATATATCATGATTTTGCAATCAACTGTCACCTTAGAGCTATAGCTTGTTCAGTATCTTTTCCTCCCTGAATACCCATTCATTTTTCCTAATTAGTATATTAAGCTCTTCAAAAGAGAAAAATTGTATACCTTGAGGCATAGTCGTGCAGAAACATCCTGATCAAAAACACCAAGAGCAATCACAGGAAGTGATGTGAAGAAGACATTGTAGAATGACATGTACCAATCATTGTAAGCAGGTTGACCAGAGAAAGAAGCATGGGCCTCAAACCAAAACAGAGTAAACCCAAATGTAATGTTCTTGTAGAAGAAGTAGCATATCTGCATTAGCCAAAAAGAATAGAATAGCACCTATCAACAGGGCATGCATAAATTTGTTGATTCTTTGTTGCCTAAGCCATATTACAAATTACAACGCAATTATATTGGCAATAATCATGTTAATAAGAAGGAAACTGAAAGCCAGAAGATTAAAAAGAAACAACGATTGTCTACTTTGAAAGGGTGGCTTTGGTTCCTCAACTGGTTCCTCAACTTACTGAGGGAAGAGCATTTTTATTATTTCTTTTTAATTTTGCTTTTCGGTGACAATTATAAGAAACATGTTTTACCATCATTGATATGCGCCTGTAGCACCAGTGCCCATGTACAAGCAAGAGCCGCTCCAAAAAACGGAATTGAGCTATGGAAAAATCACTGGCCATTACCGCCTGTGTTTAGGAATCAAAAGGAATCAGAAGCTGGGTGTAACATATAATTTTTTAAATTTACATGTCTGAGAGCTGTCAGACCAAAAATCACAATAAACAACTACTGGTAAATAGTGTGATAGACAAATATATTCTCTATTCTCACGGCTTTCATAGGATGCCGAAAAATTAATTTCTCCACCAGCAGCAGATCAAATATATATTACTAACCACTGGGAAACAGACATACAACATGGACACTAGCTTTAACTACTTTGACAGAAGTCTGGGCATATAAATCTTGTACAAGCAATATAAACATGTGAATATATTAAAAGAAAATAGAATACTAGAACAAGCATGCACTGAAGATGTTGAAGAATAGAAAAAATATGTATGTGAAATGCCACATTTGTGCAGCCCCAGAGGAGTTCGGAATGAAGGCATGCTATGTTGATTATTATTGGAAATCATGCAAAGGTGTACAAATCAGATTTAAAATAGAGTCACCTGCATCCCTTCAACACCACTAATGCCGACTCCAATATCAGCTTCTTGAAGCATGCCAACGTCATTTGCACCATCACCAACAGAAAGTGTTATTTTACCTGTTCCAAGTTTTACCAATCTCGTAACCTGCACATATTTAATAGTTCTATCAGATTATTTGATGCCAGCAGATGGCCATATGAAAAAACTTGGATAATTTGGATTGACATGCTGATGAGCGAGATACATACAAGAGCTTTCTGTTTGGGTGTAGAACGGCAACATATAACAGAAGCACAATTAATTGCAAGCTCAAAAAACGATTTTTCCACATCCTTCTTGAGTGAAAATTCCAAGGACTTTCCATCAATTATCAAGCCAAATGACTTAGCTGAGCTAGAACTTTCTTTAGCTTGATTAATTTGCAAAACACCTTCTCCAATTTGCTTCCTTATGCTTTCAAGAGAAGCCTTATAACAATCAAGGTTTGAGAAATTACCTGAGGGTAAAAGAAAAATAACGGAAAAAGAGAATGTCATGGTTTTTTGCTTTAGGATTCTGTACCTTCACAACTGCCTCTTTATCCCCTTGTTTCGACAAGGCATTTATATCTGGCAAATCAAGACTGATGACAATCTGTTTCATATCTTGTCTAAGTAAACTGCAAGCATACCTGTAAAATTTACAAAAACTATTAGTAACAAAAAATTTAAAATAACTATAATATGTAATTTGCAGAAAAATATAATCTATCATTAAAACTGCTGACATACCCTATGTTAACTGCAGTTTCCATCTTATCCCCAGTCAATACCCATATCTTTATCCCAGCCTGGGCAAGCTTGTTGATACATTCAGGAACCTGCGTCCCAGAGAACAGTATCAGTATGGAATTATTAATCTAGGAACGCAAACAATCCTTTATGAATATAAAAGTATGCTATAGTTTTGTTATTCTGATATGAACTTCCAATTCACATCAGTATTGAATTGTACAGGGCTCTAAATTCAGGGAGGACACAATAACAATTATTGGGCATAAACTAATCCCGGTGAAAAGACTGATCACAAATGCTATCAAAATTTAATATTCACCCCCTTTTGCAGTTTGTCTTCAACAGCTGTAACACCAAGTAGAATTAAATCTGTTTCAATCTTATCAGCAACCCCATCCACCAATAAATCTCGACCTTCGGTGACAGAAGATTTGGCCTTCAGAAACTCCTTTTCCCATATTTTAAATTCTTCTTCACCGAGCTCGCGGTATGCAATCACCAAAGTTCGTAAACCTGCTTCAGCATATTTATGAATGTGCTCCTTGGTCTGATCCTCAAACTGCCGCCCAGCTTTTGCAAGCCTTTCAAAAATTACACTGGACATATGCAGATAAATGAGAATCATGGATTCAACAGATCCTACTGGCAACTTCAAACGGTGAACTGTAAGCATGAGAATTCAAGAGTCTAACCTGTCTGCACCCTTGCAAAGGAGCAAATATTTATTTTCTGGACTCCTTACAATTACTGACATTCTTTTCCGTGAACTACTGAACTCTAAGACATGAAGAAGCTCGTATTCCCTGGGATATAGAAACTTAGTCACATTATGTATGTATGTATGAGCTCGCACATATATATTGTACAAAGCATAGGTTGTAGTAAGTAACTAAAATAAGTAATTAGTTACATGTATGTATGAGCTGGCACATATATAAGCATGCTGTAATTGTTATGACCTTCCAGCCGCTTAAAGACTACAAGGAGCCTGAATGTAAAAATAAACAGGTCACGGTACAGATGGAGCTAACCTGTCAACCTTTTTCCCAGTTTCAAAATCCAACTCATGCAATGATATGCTTGTTTGAGTCCTTTCGAAAAACTCAAAGCCAAGCTCCCTGGCAGCTATGACAAAAGCTGCTTCATCTGGCGATTCAGCTTCATAGGTTATTTCTCCTGATTTTTTATCGACAACTGGAATGGCTGTATGACACATCGCTAAAACCCGAAGGAATTTCTGTATTGTGTCTGAATGAGGTTCATTGACCCACTGGCCATTCATGATGCGTTCGTCTCTAAAGTTAAAACCCTTAACTGACTTTCCAGAGGCAACAACATCACTAGTATCCCCGAGTACATCAGATGATATGTCACCAGTTTTAGGCAGTCCATCCCTTCTGTTTGCCAGTGCCCTCTCCACTTCTGTCATACCATGGCCATAAGCAGTGCCTGCAATCGAGCATTTAATAAACTCCATGGAGTTACATGTCAATGTACCTGTTTTGTCAGAAAGTATCATATCAACCTGGCCAAGTTCCTCATTCAGATTAGACGTGCGTGCATGAGCTGGCCTATCTGTTTCCTCATAATACATATCCTGATCTTGGTTAATGAAAACACTCTGTAGTACCTTCACGATCTCTATTGATACGTACAGAGATATTGGTATCAGATATCCATACAACATAAGGGCAGTCAAGAAATGGAAAAAAGCAGCAAGTGCTGGTCTTTTGGGGTCATAAAACACAGTGGTATGATCTGGACGAAGATACCACCTTCTATACTTTCCACCACTGATATCTCGTTTAGTGTCAATTCCGAAAAAGACAGATCCGACAAAGGCTATCACAACCAGAGTACTGAAAAGAATGTAGATTATCTTATCCATTTTCCTCTCAATTTTACTTCTCTTTGAAGGAGGATCTGTAGCATTCTGCATCACTTTCGTGTCATGACCAGTAAACACAACAACACCAAAGACATATTCAGTGTTTTTCAGCTTAGAGTCTCTTAAGAGCATCTGTTGTAAGGAAAGTGGGTAAGGTTTGCCATCATAGTACAAAGTCCCAACAAATGAATACAGATTTTCATTCGGGTCCTCACACTTGATCACTGCTTTAAATTTTTCCAAGGAATTTTCATCCTGAAGATGGGATGTCACCTCCAATGCATGCTTCAATTTTAAATTAGTTTCTCCATCAAGGTTCATAGTTTCAACATAGCAAATCCCATCGTCATAGCTCGATGAAAGCAAAAGCAGATCAGCGGGAAAGTACTCATCCTTGTGCACCTTCACAAGATCACCAACTCGGAGTTTCTTCCATCTGGTCTCATAGAAAGTATAATTCCTACCATAAACTCTAACCTTTCGATTGTTTGCCTCAATATCCTGAAACCATTTCAAGATATAGCCAACTTAATTAGGACAAACAAATAAATAAACATCAAAACATTAATTTGAAGGTATCCTAATAATGTTGCTCTTTCCAATTATGCTGCACCCATTTTGGATATAGACAGTAAGCATCAATACATACTAAAAGGATGTACACAATCTCCATCGGTACAAATGCTCAAAAGACTGTTTGCAACAAATATGACTACATAATGTAAGTTGTAACCTTCCCTGCAAAACATTAACAAAAATATATGTTGATTGTCTGATTAACTTTTACTCTTTCAAACTGCTGGGCCCCCTTGCCCACCCCAGCAGGAGAGAGTTACAATTGAGGACCATAATTCTAATACTATTATACTCCAAATTCTTTACAGAGTTATTCAAAAATGACTAAATAAGCTTAAGCTATCGCTTGTAAAATCAATGGTGCAATGCATTGACATGTAGATAATTACCTGTTTTCTTCGCCTCCAATCTTCAACAGCTTCCTTAGCCATAGTAGCTCCAATCACCACTAACAAGGGTGCCAGAACACTAACAGCTTTAAAAGGCGCTAATGGACTAAATGAAACACAAGCTACAATAAGAAAGTATATATTTGCAACCCTCCTAAACTGCTCAAACAAAGACTTGGGAATAAAATTAGCTGCCGTGTACTTGGTAGTCGAAACATAATTTCCCCTGTATCTCAACTGAAGTGCCTCAGGATTATCAGGGTCATTACAATGCACAACCCTTGAGAACCCTCTTTCCCCAATTTGGGAATGACTATCATGGAAAGGAGATCGAATACATGAAAACGAATAGAGTTTGCTAAAATGTATCCCTCTCCTTGTCTTCCGCCCTTCTGTCATTTTTGCAAGGTTGCACCCTCAAACTCAGTCACTAAATTCTCCCCTCACTCAAATTTCCATCCACATTCCCCTTTCACTTTCCGGGAAAATCACCAACCAACCAAACAAGTCACACCTATTTCCCAAAACACAAAATTTCCACCATCCCGTAGTCAATACACCCGGAGTTAAGCAAACACATTGACCAATCAAAACAAAATTCTCTACCAGTCTAGGCCAATGGAGTAGCAGATCATTAACACAATCTACCAAAATTTGACAAAACCATTGGAGGAGCTAAAAGATCATAACTTGAGCGACACATAAGAGCCTTGAATGCCTTGCGTAGCCAGATACACAAAGTCGGTGGACAAAGTATATATCTTAAAGCTCCATTTTGATCCCACAGACTAATAATTTTATTTATAATTTAAAAAAAAAAAAAAAAAGGCTAAAGTAAAGAAAGGCTGATGATTTTAACTTAAAACAAAGATTGCAAGTGCTACAGAGCTAAAACTAGGACGGGAATTTTAGGAAACCCTAGAAGAAGTTGTGTTTCAGAGAATTCCTTACTTCCATTTCCAGGCTGCAGAGATCTCTTTCTTGTGGTTGCTTGTTTGGTTTCAGCTAAAATGTAGAGAGAGTAAAATAAAAAAGTGAGCTTTGTATGAGTAGTAGTTAGCTTTGCCGCTTTAGTAAGCAAAAGCTGGGGACATAGAGGGGAAAGAGATCTATATATTTTATTTTATATATATACATATGTAAAATAGGAAGCAAAGCAGGTGATCATGGCCGTACACACACTGTAATATTAGTGAATGAGAGAGACTCGAGTCTCGAGTCTGTAGTCGATGAAAGATGACGTGAGGCAGATGAAGATCGTTCTCAATCTTTGCCGCACACGTGGCTGATTGAGCCGCTGGGTCCTTCTTCCTTTGACCCCTTTTCCCTTCGCAAAAGCAAACAAAACAATTCCTTACCCTCCTTTTTTCTTTTAGTCTTTAATTATTTCACTTTGGGAAATAATAAAAAAATTACAAAAGAATTTTATTGCTGACAAAACGGACAAAGAAGAAAAAAACGAAAAAGGAAAGCGCGCCTTGGACGACGTCGTTTTCTCTTGAAGCAATTATTTTGAGCACATTTTGTTTTGTTCCATGGTTTCACGGTCTCACCTGCACAACTACACAAAATTTAAAGCTTGACTTGACACGGTTTTCCTTGCGTCCTTCCATGATGTTCTCAATCTCAACTTCTGGTCCAAAATTTAAAATTAAATAAAGGTGAGGGATCTGCCAAGTCATCTATTTGTCTACGAGCTTGCAGCTTAATTATATACGCGTGGAACAACAAAAACTTATGCTTAAATAATCAATTTTAAGAAATTAAACTTCCCTTATTGTTCAGATGCTTGTCGCTCAAGTGGTTAATAATATTCACTTATACACTCGGATTTTGTATGTGCTTAGTGATTTCAACAGATGATGAATTGAATATATGAATTAGCTAATAATGTGTCAAGCTATAATATATAATTAGATAGAAGAGTTAATCGTTTTATTAGTTCCTGAATTTATACCGGATTTTCATTTAAGTTCCTCAATTTTCAAAATAGTTTTTGTGGTCTTTCAACTTTAGTTTCGTTATAACAAATGGTCCTGACGTCAATTTTGTTAACTTTTCTGTTAAATGCAAGGACAAAATTGTATTTTTGTATTAAATTAATTAAAATATGAATAAAAAATTAAAATTGAACTCTCTATCTATCCCCCTCCATCCCGATTTCTACTCCCCCAAACTTGAATTTTATTTTATTCTTTGGTTTTCTATCTAATTTTCTTTTATTGTTCTTATATAATTTTGTATTTTTTTTATTTTTAATATAAAAATATCATTTTGCCCCTACATTTAATAGAAAAAGTTAACAAAATTGATGTATGACCATTTGTTCTAATAAAAGTGAAGTTAAAGGCCACGAGAATGATTTTAGAACTTAAAGGACTCAAATACAAATAAGATCTAAGTTCATGGACTAACAAAACAATTAACCAATAAAAAAGGTTGTTAAGTTTAACTTAAGTCTCAAGTCTTATCGGTTCCCTCCTTAAAGGCTTGAATACTTGGGGGCCATGGCTCATGGTGGGAAAATGGAAATCTCACCTTGAGACAGGTGGCTCGGTCGACAGCGCGTAGACCCGAGTGGGTTCTCGTCCGGCCGACAAGACAAGAGAGTGGCATGGTGGGACCCTCAAAGCCTTTAGGACGTACAAATTTTAAAGCCGGATTCCAACACTGTGCCACGTGCAATTTGGGCTCCATTTCATGTCATTGTTGCCGTCGGCCCACCATCTCCGCCTTCACCTTCGTAGACTGCAATCTAGATAGATTATAAGCCACGATCCATGCACATGCACCCATCTCATCTCACTCTCTCTCCCCCATACATCCATGCATTGCCGCCACTCTTGTCTTGTGTACAAAGTCATTGGCCCACCTAATTAAAAGGCGCCAATTCAATCCCACGTCCTCAATTATTATACATCTTTAATCATTGTTAAGATACACATCTCATACACGTGTCAAAAAATACATGTGTGCTCGTTTTGGCCCAAAATTATTGCGTTCTGCTGAAATACCGTCTCGTGATGTAGCCAAATTCGTTAGATTATTACATGTTACGTCGTGCATTAATAATATCATGTGACGATGTTTTGCGCTCTCAGTTGCACCCAAAAGCTTCCTCATATAAAGGCTTGGTCAAAATGCCGCATCAAGCCCATCTTAACTATTTTGGTTAGGAAAGTAATTTCAACTGTAGTCAAGGCTCAACCCATTGAAATCGGGTGTGTTAAGAACAATTTAGCCCAAGCCCAATATCGTCAATTGGGTTGAATAAGTCACCATAGCGGACGGGCATCATCAGAGCCTTCCGTTATAAAGCCAGCGAATCATGCACTGTCTCTCCCGTGACCCAACTTTAGGGCTCTCTATCAGGGGCTGCGATCACGATAAATACCCGATACTTGCAATTTCCCTCCGATACATTGACTATTTGACTAAATCTCGACGCGGGGCCCACCCCATTTTTGCAATCACGGTTGGCCTCTCCCCCTGTGAAAATATATTTTGTCTGCAATAATATTTGATTTTTGATTTTCCCCACAAAATTGAAGGCAGAAAAAGGGGCTTTCCTTTTACCTGTTGTATTTATTTATTTATTTTAATTCCGTTTAAAAACAGAAATTATTTATAGAAAAAAGAAAAAAAAATGGAGAGAGATTCGATCTGAGGACCTAAGCCTGAGCGACAGTTGGATATAGAGAGGGGGAGGGAGAGAGAGAAAGAGATAGAATAAGAGAGACAATCGGGGGACTTCAATCGACGAGCAATTTGAGCTGAATCGACGTCGTTTTGTGGGGGAGGGGCAGGGGTTCTCATTTTTTCTGAATCTTTGTCAGAACAACTCAGATTCAGTTCTGGACCTTCTGGTTCGTCCACTTTCACGACGATACACAACGAGTTCCACTTTGCTGGCGAAACCCTACGTCCGTACGTACTCGGTACTCCCGCTGATAATTCTTCAGGTTCATCATCCGCCCGCCCACTTAAAGCAATTGAATTTAGCGGATTTTTTTTCGTCAAGTTCATAACTTTGTTTAGCAGCAATTAAAAAGTGTTGTTATTTTTTCTGTTGTTTTGCTTAATTCATTTCATTTCTTCATGTTTATATTAAAATCTAATACTCTGGTTTGGTGGAGCAGACAAATGGGTAACTGGAATTCAGTTTGATGATTTCTTATGGTTCTGAGGTGGCAAGTTTTAAATTTGAATGTGTAGTGTTGCTAATTTGATTGTAAAAATGTGGAAATTTAGAATGGTAGATTGTAGCATCGCAATTTTAATCCCCCGCCCCCCGCCCTCTTCTGTCTTAAAAATCCAAGTTGTGATGAATTGTTGCAAGGAAGGTTTATTTTCTACTTCTCTAATGAGTAAATTGTTGCATAGAAGCTTGACTGTAAGGAAGTGAGAATTGTTCAGAAACTGATCAAACAAGAGCTCTTGTAAGATGGTTTTTTTTGTGGACACAATTTTAAGTAGATTTGTACTTTCCAATACAATCGGCCCTTTAAGATCCAAAAAGTAAGTGCGGTCACCCATTACTGAGCTAAGATTAATTTTTGGACTGTGTTTGGTGTTCACTACACCCATTGGTGGGTTAAGTTATGTTTATTGGAATTTTATTTGTTATGATTTATATGAGTAATGTCATGGCCTCATGTTTGATAATTTTCCTTATTTCTGCGAAAATAATAATCTGGATCGCTGAAGTAGTAATTTCTGGCTTTCTTTCTTGCGTTAATATGGCTAACTTGTTCCTCTTTGATTTTGTAGGAATTGTTTCTTATTTTTTCCTAAGACATCAATCATTGCCATCAGCGTGCACCTTATATAATAAACACTCAAGTTGGTCTTGTGAGAATAGTGGGCAGTTCAAAGTCAGGCAGCGTTAGTCTGCACTGTTGATGACGTTACTAGATATGGCTTTGTGCTCTCAGTGCTAATTCCTTCTAAAAGTTCTTCAGATTGTTACCTTTCTTTTGTCTTACGGATTCCTGCTCAATTGAATGGTAGCAAGTTCTATCCAGAATTCTTGTCAGTGTATGTTTATATTATCGCCTATTGTATAACTAGCTAGTGCTGTTTTAGGGTTCCTGAAATTAATTAGGCCATAAATGGAAGCATTTGGTGAAAGAATTATCTGAATGGAGTTACTGGATGAACACGCAATTTTGTGTTGAACCAAGGAAAAATGCTATCAAATTGGAATCCCTGTATTAATTTGATGCTTATTTCCTTTGGGTACACTTTATTTATGTTCTTTGGGATATCCAGAAGTAAAGAGGGTTCCAACAGTGTGATATAAGAAGAAAGCATGGAGTATGTATCAGACAAAAGATTTCCTCTGGATGCAAAAGATTATAAGTTATATGAAGAAGTCGGTGAAGGTGTTAGTGCTTCTGTGTACAGGGCACTCTGTATACCACTTAATGAGATAGTTGCTATCAAGGTTCTTGATCTGGAAAAATGCAATAATGACCTGGTATGTGGACTACTCTCTTTTGTAATTCACAATTTATCTGTCAAGTTTATTTTTTAATGCACCTGGTTGGCATCTAAATGGTGCTAATATTTGGCTTGTCTTGTTCACTTGGGTTCTATGTCTTAACATATTTGGACCAATTGAAATCTATGCATGTATTGCATACTATTTTGAGAAGGAATCCCATCACATCATGGATGACTTCAGTAGTTTATAGGAGAGTTATACTTCATTATTTTCATGTGAGGCATTTATAACAGGATTTATCTGAGAAAAAAATTAGTTTCTGATTACAACACTTTTAAGGTCATCATACGTATTCAAATGCCCTCCAAATGCCCTCCAAGAACAGTTTCTGTATAATTGACTGATTTGTTGTCTTGAAGCTATTGATGGGATGATTTAAGTATAAATTTGAAGTACCATCTAAAATTGTATCTTTCTTGTCAAATTATGCAGGATGGTATCCGGAGGGAGGTACATACAATGACTTTGATTAATCACCAAAATTTATTACAAGCACATTGTTCGTTCACTGCTGGCCACAGCCTTTGGGTCGTGATGCCATATATGGCTGGGGGATCCTGCCTACATATAATGAAATCTGCATATCCTGAAGGTTTTGAAGAGCCTGTTATTGCGACTTTATTGCATGAGGTTCTAAAAGCTCTTGTATATCTACATGCTCATGGCCACATCCATAGAGACGTGAAGGTATCATACTTGGCTTGTTGATCCTATCATCTTACCATCAATTTTTGTGTATATTCATGTACTTCAGG